ATCCTCGGGTGAAGATGGTGCTGACCGCAGGGCTGAGGAAAGTGAGGAGGGAGCTGGCGATGAGGATAGGGGTAAAGATGAAGAAGCCTCAGAAGGCCATGAGGATGGCGGCGCAGCAGGCGCAGACGGCACCGGTCGTTTTGGTGACGCCCTGTTGCCGGCCTTGAGCGACCTGTATCTCGTGGCGTTGATGGCAGGACACTCGAACTTGGGTAGTCTCGAATGCGGCCTCGGGTTGTAGATGGCCTCGAGATACTCGCTTATGTTTCTCGCGGGAAGTATTGCTCCTGGGGCGAGTGGTCAGCTACCTTAACATTATGCTGGCTAATATCTGTCCAAATCAGGACTTTTGGTTTTCTCACCATCCTGCACAACATGCCCCTTTGACAGCTGCTTGTACGGCATTATCGGGTGCCTCTGCGCGCTGGGGAACCACGAGAGGCGATCGCGGGAGAGGTATAAGCTGCCCAGCAGCAGCAGGAAGATGAAGGGGGCCGCCACCAGCGGGAGCCTCCTGCTGCGCATCCTCAGCTCTGGAGGGGAAAGAAGTAAGAAGTAACAGAAACAAATAAGAAGCTGAGTATAAGAGAATAAAGAATTGTTTGGAGGAGGTGAGAAAAGGTGCCTGACGACAAGAAGAGCAAGAGTGGCGGATAAAGGTGTGAGAATCGGGGGGGTCCAGTCCCAACGCAAGCCCAGCCACACGAGGGCGAGAAGAAGGATTACTATATGACGAGTGTCGATGGATAGAGATGGAGACGTGAGGCTGTGTTTCTCCTGTTTCCGTCGCTATCGTACCGTATCTGCTGCCCTGAGTCGGATGGGAATCCTTCGGCGGCCCGGTCTAGAAGCAGGGTGGGCCGGCTGTTGCGTACTGACGATGATTGTTATTCGCAGCTGTCAAGTGCTTATTCTCTGGCCATAGGGCATTGGTAAATATAGTATGGGGACTGAAAGCAGGTATATAATATTGTTCGTATGCGGGCATGTTAGTAGTAGTAGTAGTACCAGCGAGGTGGGTTAAGGTAGCAACGGATACGCCGGGCTGATACGAAAAGAAGCTGTATGCTCGAAGCATGACAGGGCCCTTTTTTTTTTTTTTTCTTTTCTCGTTCGTTGATGCAATTCACGGGCAACTCCAAAGGGCGGAATAGCAAGCCAGTTGCAATCAATCGGCGCAATGCAGGCGGACGAGCGAGACGCTGCGAGACAGGACGAAAGACACGGTGTGACGGCATCTCGCTTCAGAAGGGCTCGCATAGGAGGGCGAGCGAAGCAGCTGGGCGTCAGAGGACCTGAAACTCTTTTTCTTTTACATCTTTTCCTTTTTTTTTGTTTCTTCTCTCTCGTCTTTTCTCTCTCGTCTTTTCTCTCTCGTCTTTTCTCTCTCGTCTTTTCTCTCTCGTCGTTTCCTTTCCGTCGTTTCGTGTGTCTTTGTTTCGTGTCTCTGCTGCCGTCACTCTCCTCTCACTCTCCCTCTCATCTCCTCCGTCTTCTCCCCTCCTCAGCTCTCTCCGTCTCTCATATACCGTATGTACACACAATCTTCTCACTCTCGTTCAAACCTCGTACTCAACCACTCTAGCCAGCCCACTAGCCTAACCCAAAAACTCAATCCCGGCCACTCCCAAAGGCCATCTGGAACGATTCTCTTCCCGCGGCACGATACGAGAATCAAGCTCAAGCCATTGGCCGCCTGGAAAAGCTGCGGGCAGGGGACTCCGAGCAGCATTAATAAGAAAAAGGTAGGTACAAGCCCCCCCCCAAACTGGTCAAGCCAAAAAAAGAGTCGAGCAAGAAAAAGCACGAGCTTTTTACACACTCTCTCTCGCAGCTCTTATTACAGCTTGGTAAGGCACAGCCAAAAACAGAAAACGAAGCAGCCAGGCCCTTTTGTCCGGCCCCATGCGGTGACCGGGGGACCCCTTGCTCGAAAGAGAAGAAGAAAAGGAAGGGGTTAAAGAAAAAGCTTGGCTTGCGCGCATCAGGCAATTGCCGGGATCTTGATCTTCTTATTCCGGCGCCTTTTTTTTTTTTTTTTCTTTTTTTTCCCTCTGCGCTTTTTTTCTCTTCGGACAAGAATTCCATGCCACCTATCGTTTGGGTTGTTCGTATTCCAGGTTGACATGAAGTTTTGAGCTAATGCGAAAGTGGTTGTTGGCCGAGCCATTTTCTCGTTGCTTTGCATGTGCATGTACTGGTACTCAATTTATCTTGCCATGTGAAGACAGGAATTACGTGACCGAGGGGAGACAAGGCGGGAGGTTGATTTGCTTCCATCACCTGTTGCGGCACCTGTTGGGATGGAATACATAGCATTGGATGCATGGGGAGACAGAAATCGGGAGCTGTTTGCTGGAGACCCTCTGAGGTGATACCGTACAACTATCTTGTTGTACCTGGTCCCTGTCCAGCTGTTATCGACATGCTATGTAGTCCAGCTTTGGAAAAAGGTCAATGCTTGTCCCTTTCCAAGGCCACGATGCGATACAACGACGATCTGCATGTGGAACAGATGCACTTCTTCTTCGTCTCATGCTTTTCTTCTTCTTCGGCGAAGAGTCAAAAGTGAGCCCTGAGTATGTGTGTGTCAGCTCTATGTATCAATATTGAAGCTGTCCTTTCATAACACCCAATCAGATGATTGAATGGTCTGGTGGTCTAGTGGTATGATTCTCGCTTAGGGTACACCCTACAGCTTGCTTGCGAGAGGTCCCGGGTTCAATCCCCGGCCAGACCCTTTCTTTTTCTCTTTTTGTCGTTTTGGGTCTCCTCTCCTCCTCCTCCTTCTCCTCCTTCTTGTATCACTTATCCAGAAGAGTCTCTTTCTCTCTTCCTTTGACTTTGGACTAGATAGATTTTACTCATGATTGCTTTTTTTGCTTCTCTCAGCGATGTTCTCCTCTTTCCTATCTTGGCAGCTTCTAGTCTATAAAAAGCATCATCCCACAGTATCCCAGCACTTCCAGTCAGATAGTAGTCTACCTATTCAGCTAGATAAAGTATTACATATTTGAAATTCCACCTCCAAATACAGCAGAACAGCAAGGTGTGTATGTATGTAGGTAGGTAAGTAAGTGCTCGGCCTTTGTTACCCTGTCAACAACGCAGACCAATCGTCGAGTTCAGGGTCCACGGATCTAGTACCCATAGTCGCATCCTCTCAACTCGTATTACACGGAACTAAAATCAACCAACTGCATCAATCAGCTGTAGTCAAGTCTCTTCATTTCAATCCCCAGGTACTTCGTATTCAAAGCGTCTCAGACAGACGCCGAGGTTGAAGGTTACTCACTATAGGCTATATATCCCTCTTCCTCGGAAAAGATTCCCATCAGGGAAACTCACCTTTGACTCCTCGAAAGAATGACCCCATGGTGAAGAGAACTTATACTTTCATTGATAACACGAACATCACACAATTCCTAAGCGCCCCTTCCCTCACTCATACCATCCTTTTCTATCTGGGTGGGAAGGAAGAAGAAAGAAAGCCCTTTCATCTCTCATCTCAGCCTCCTCCGGCGGTTCGTCGAAATGCTCCTCCCCCCAGACATGAAATACCCGCGCGTCGTCCTCCCCCTCTGCCTTGTCTCCTCTCTCTGCCTCACCCCATGATTCTCCCCCACCGCCGCAGCCGCACGAGAAGAGCCCCCGGCAGCAGCATGTCCATTCCTCGCAGTGCCAGCAACAGCAGCAGCAGCAGCAGCAGTCGTAGCAGTAGTGGTAACCCCTGAATGCACATGCTGCTGCTGCTGTTGACGCCGATGAACGTCCTCGATCACGCGCATCCACGTCCGTAGACGGTCCTGCTCCTGATGGATGTTGTGTCTGGCGGTAGAGAGGATGCGCTCCGTGATGCTGCTGCTACGAGCGGCCGTGGGTGCAGTGTTGTTGTTGTTGTTGTTGGGGTTATTGTTGCTTGTTGAAGTACCGTTGTTTCGAGGCGAGTGGCTGCTGCTGTTCTGCTGGCCTCTTTGACGAGCCTCGGTGCCTCTAGCCTGCCTGTGTTGACCGTGACTGTGACTGTTGTTCCTGTCCTGATGATGCCGATGGCGATGATGATCCTGGCGATTCTGTACAAAGCAACACAAAACTCTCATCAGCCCATATCTCACCATACTCAGGTTCCCCCCAACCAACCATCTCCATCCATAAAAAGAGTTGAAAGGACAGGGGCGGACAAAAACAAACTCACCTCTCTCCCCTCCCTACACCCACCACACCCACACCCGCATCCCTCCCTCCTCCCCGTCCTCCTCCCCCAACAACTCTCGCAATCACTCAGAAACACATCCTCACAATCATCATCACTCCCACCCCCACTCTCACCCTCATCCCCATCCGAGCTGCTCCTCCCATCACTCGAACAGCAACAGCTCAACCCGCCGCAGCTCGAGCAGCTGCAGCAGCAACAACAACAACAACACGTCGACGTCGACGAGCCCGAATACTCAGACCCCGACTCTTCTCGCTCCTCCGAAACGAGCACGTACCCCGTCCTCATCGAGTCGGCGCGGCACAAGCGCCGGTGCATCGCCTCGTAGAGCCTGTTGCTGCCAGCCATATTGCGATCAAGACAACACAGAAGAAACACGAAGAGCCTGAAACTGGGGACCTCGTAAAATGTATGTATA